TAACGCCGCTGGAGCTCATTTTCTTGGCTGGCTTCTGGGCGCATGGGCAGTGCGAGAACAATAGGCAGCGCCACTTGAACCATGTCGAGTTTTGCTGCGCGGCGATTTCAAAAAGAAGTCTTTCATTGTGATCTATACGTGCCAAGCCAAGGAGAGAGCTATACCCAGAAGGAGGACCGATACACGCGCCTGTCTGCTGCTCGGCTGCCCTGTTTGGCAGCAGAACCTGGCACCACGAGCATCTCATTTAGGCGACACTTGCAACAGCAAGTAGGAGGCAGCAACGCACCCCCAAAAGAAGCTTCCGACAGTCCAGGTTGTCGATCTCGGCTTAAGGCACAGTTCTTCAAGTAATCCTCAAGGTTTCGTTGAGAGGGCTCCTTTGCTGGAACCCCGGAATTTCAGGGGTTCTGGCGCCCACGCTCAGGCGCTGATTGCCACGGCGCTGAAGGCCCGCGCTGCGCCCCGGCTGCTCTTGGGTTTGGGGTTTGGGCGGCTTGAGGGTTTAGGGTTTATTTTTTGGGTTCAGGGTTGTTTTGAGGGGGGGCTAGGGAGTTTAGGGTTATACCCTCTTGGAAAATTAGGAGCCCTTGAGGGTTTAGTGTTAGTACCCTCTTGGGGTGCCATGCGCCGAGGGTTTCAGCATTTAGGGGAGCTGAGAAGCAAAAGGAGTGCTCCATTGCAAGTTGTGTTGTTTATAGAGAAGTCCCCATGCCAAAAGCAGATCGATTTCATGTGCTCGAATTTTGACGGGTTCGATGACAGCACCAGATTGTTGGGTCTGTCTCCGCCTGGTAGTTTGTGTAGAAGGCTTGAAAGTCATCTCCACGCAGGCCCGCAGAGAACGGCAGCCTGTTGGGCTCGACACCCGAGAATCTCTAAACACAGTAGCGCTCGCTGCCATCTTAAGAGGTCCCTCTTAAAGCTCTCCCTTCTCAAGCTCCCTCTTCAATCCCTTGAACAGCCCCCCCTCCCCACGTGTCAAGCTCTCTTCGAGCCCCCCCCCGCCCGCCCTTCTCAAGCCCCCCTTGAAGCTCCTCCTTCTCAAGCTTCCCCTTCAAGTCTGAATACTTGCTGGGTCTTCTGCACCGTCAGAAAATTTGCTGTCATTCAGATGATGATTCTCTGTTAATTCTCTACTCGAACAATGAACACACAAAAAGCAAGAAACGAGAAGGGCGCCTTCTCAACTTCTCGAATAATGGCCACAAGAAAACAAGAACAAGAACGAATCTACTCCTCTATTAAGTCTCTAAAAAAACGGAATGAGAAACGAGAAGGCGGAATCTTTCTCTACTTCTTCTCTACTTTTGAAAGCACCACCAGGGTGGCGTACGCTTCTGATATAAACATCCCTTCGTCTCTCAGGACACTTGCTTGGTTTTTGGGTTGCAATCGTTGGGATCGAGGGTTTAGTAAGATTTCGGACTCCCAGTGCACAGCCGCGGTGCCGTTACAGGTTACAAAAGAGGGGTCAAGCCTGGAAGCCTGGAACCTCGTTTCTGGTTCGCTGGGACGACTGTACTGGGGATGCATCGCAAACTTTGTACCCCGAAGCCTCCCCTACCTCGCAAGCACCGTCACCTGCAGCCCAAGAAAACCTCCGGGCCTACTAGAAGCCGCAACTTGAGGCATCCGATGAGCAGCGACTCAGCGTCCGAGACTTCCTGGCGCCCTCGCTGAGCAGGGCGACCAGGGAGCATGCGCCGGGGGACCTAGTTTCGCATCTAAGTCAGGACCCCCAAAATCTCAAGCCCAAGGCCTAGTCCGCTTTTCGTAGAGAGTGCAGAGGTTTTTTGAAAGCCTTCCTGGGCAGTCTGACCTTGACCCTTCTCTCCTGCCTGAGCAGCTCAGAAGAATCCAACACCTCAAGCTTCAAAGAAAACTGGGAGGTCTTGAAACTGTGTAGAAAAGTACCGTGGGCACTCTTACTAGCAGTCGGAGCATTGCAATCTCAACCAATTCCTGCGCTAGATCCTGAACTTAAACTAGACCGTTACTAAGCACATATCTGTGCACTTTAGAGTACTTCAGACGCCTACTTTGACATCCTTCTTTTCAGTGACCAAGGTGAAGCAGCCAGTCTGAGGAGGGAGGCTCTGAACCCTGCAGCGCCCAGCTGTCAGGATCCGAACACACCTACAAGCAAACCCCACCGTTGACCCTGAGTAGACACCCTGAGTAGACCCTAACTCTTGACTTGACAAGTGCTGGTCCCTGTAAAACCCCCAGCCCTAAAGCCTAAAGCCCCGTGGCGCCGAGGCTCTACAAGCTGCTTATGCTCTCCAACTCACTGGCGGCACTGGAGGCAACGTCAGGGAATCTGGGCTTTGTCGGGCCTTGGGCCCACAAGAGAGAGGCCTCCTTGTAGCATGTTTCTTTTGCAAACGTTAGGTTCAGGCTTAATTTTAAGCACGCCCATCGTTGAGTTATCCTGTTTTGTGCCTTGCGTTTAGTGCTTTGGCCTTGGCTTCAGTCGTTTACCGTGTCCTTGGGGTTGGCATTTGAGGGCCTTGAGGGCCTGGGGGCTTGAGCGTGTAGCTTGAAGGTAGATTAAGACACAGTATGGTTGTGAGCGAGTAGAGTTTGGGAGTTTTCGAAGAAGCCGCCAGGGTATTGGAACCCCACCCACCCCCCGCCAGCCCCAACCCACGCCAACCACCCCTTCCCGAACCCCCCCAAAAACCCCCCAACCCCCCCCAAAACCCCCCCTCGCGAGGTGGATGTGAAGCGCCATGAGTCCTGCTTGGAGAACCTCCTCAAGTCTGACGAGGACCTGCGTTTTTGCAGCCAGTGAGGCCCCCTAAACCCGAACCACGACGGCTTGGTTCATTTTTCAAGTCTCTATTTATACCTATATATATATATATGCACTGTAACAGAGGACTGAATGCTTGACTTTGAACAGGGCCTTTGCCGCCCCCCTTGCCCCCCCTCCCCCCCCCCCCCCCCGGAAAAAATAATATAAAACACAGAAAAAGAACAGCGAACGGCTTTTTGGTTTGGGGGGGGGGAGAGGGGTTCGACTGAACCCTCAACCCTACACCGGCAAGAGGACATGGCAGCCATGTACCTATCCTATCGTCGCGATTCCGGCAACGAGCGGAAGGCGGAATGGGAAGCCGTGGGTTCAGAATTCAGGGATTTTTAGGATTCAGGGTCCGGGGGAGTTCGACTCAGGCTGTGTCTTTGGAGACTCAGTGAGGTGCCTTCCGTGTTTGTTTTGCTCACTTGCATCTCAGGCCACATCCCAAGCCGTCATTCTAAGCACCTGTTCCACGACGGCAGTTGCCAAAGAACCTCCGAAACCGGACACCTGACAACCTCAACCTTCGAACCTCCTCCGCCCACATTGAGGGTTTAGGGGGAAGATCCTCTGACTTGCCATCCCCCGGCGTTAGTCATAGTTGGCGGCGAAAGCTGATTGCTCATTACACATTATGGGCTGCAGAAAGCGGCGGCTGGCCTGGTTTGAGAAATTGACTGCCTACGTACTCTGCTGCCGATGTAAGTGCAAATGCAAAACTGCCGTTTTGACAAGTTGGGCGTCGGGGGCCCGCAGCACTTGCGGGCTGATCCGGACGCTCATGAGGTGCGGGCGCTAGGGCCGGAGCACTCGCGGGCTGACTGGATGCTGACCGGAATGCTCAGGGACTCTCGAAGAAGACCCGTCTGATGCTCATGATTTGGGGTCTGACGCTCCTTGCCGACTCATCTGATGCTCACATGCTCGTGTTGGGACAGGAATGCTGACCCGGATGATGCTCACAAGTCTTGATACTACTGATGCACGGGCTTTAGGGCCGAAAATGCTGAGGGAGGCTGCACATGACGCCGGGTATTGGGGACTGAACCTCACAACCTCATCTTGGAGGGTCCCAAATCTGAACAGCCAGCAGGTGTCGGACCACGAGGACGTGGAGCTGATGTTGGAATCCTTCGGCATGCAGCTGGAGGCTGAACCCTTGTGGCCTAGTTTCTTATTGCTTTGAGGCGCTCCGCGTTCTCGACCCCCCCTCCCCCACCCGCACAAGGTATCGTCCCTATGGTCCACTGACACGTAACCCTAAACTCAAAGTGAACCGCAGAAGATTGGCACATGCGCGCCCCCCTCCCCCCACCTCCACTCCCCCAACATCTTGCACCATCGCCCAGGCTGCAAGTTTTTAAAGAGCCCTTCCACCTTGCCGGACATGATACATAGAGGTCTTGCGTGCACAAACCTTATCTGGCCCCGAAAGCCTACAAGCGCTATAAACCCTACGAACGCTACAAAAGCCCCAGAAGCCCGACAAGCCCCCCCCAAAAAGCCTTTGTAAACCCTTAGCCCGAAGCACGAGCCCCCGAAACCTGGGCCAGCACTGAGAATGTGAGGACCTCTCAGACCGGATCCAGAAGCTGCAAGAGAGCGAGGGCCTCAAGGGTTTAGGGTTTAGGATTCAGGGTTTAGGGTTTAGGGTGTAAGGTTTGGGGTCGACTTTTTGTTGTCAGTTGCCGGAGCCAGAGGTGGTCGGGTTTGAAGCTCGTTGAAGTCGTGGCACTTCGGTAGGATGTGAGTGGCCCCCTTTCACGGGTTCTTTGTTCTAGTAAGACTGCTTGCAGCTTAGGATACCAGCCGGACCTTTAGCTTAGGGCCCTTCTTGAGCGTGCTAGGGTTGGGACCGGAGGTGTTGTGACCCAGAGCAAGATGGAGCAGCTCATGCTTACCAGCGAGCGGAACCGAATCATGAGGTCGGGCCGACTTCCCACAAGAGCCCGAAACCCTGAACAACCCTAAGCCCGAAAATGCCTTTTTCCCCCTCGAAGGCTGAACCTCAACTTCAGTTTCAAGGCCACCAAAACCCCTAAAGCACGGAGATTCATCCTTGTGTAGGTCTGGGGGGAGGGAGGAGTGGCGGTTCACAGTGTTCGGGGGTTTTGTGGGGCTTATAGGTTCTAGGTTTTTGGCAGTTTTGGGGTTGAGGCGCTGAAGGGCTTCAAGCCTGCTTCAAGCCTGAAAAATGGGCTTCGGGTCAAGCTTTCCTAAACCCAAAGTTGCTATTCAGGATCAAAATTTGCAAGATTCCCAGCAGCCAATGCCAGCAGTCATCATGCCCTGCATATTGTGCGGGCAAGCGACAGACCAGGAAGAGCACTTCGTCACTTGCTTCGAGCAACACTGTCCGGTCTCAACGCCTGTTGCGCCTGTTGTGCCAGTTGTGCCTCGACAACCCGTGCTATTCCGGCTTGGCAGGTTACCCGCCAGCACGGCAGTTGTAGTTCACAGCTACTTGGACCTCCCTGAGCGCTTGACTCTGGCGTGTGCCTCAAGGCATGCGAACGTGCTTTGTGAGGATGAAGAGGCATGGGGCCAGTACGCCACGAGCTTGTGGGCTGCTTTGTGGGGCTCGGCCGCGGTGCCAGATGGAAGCTGCGGTTGCCGTTTCAGCTCTCCCCAGCATGTTAATTTCATCAAGCCCAAGGTGAAAGCACTGGGATTGTGGCACCTTCGGTCTCTCACAAGACTGGAGGTTGTTGTGAAGCTTGTAGAATGGGATGACAACGGCACTGGCCGCAAGCGTGCGCGATTAATCCTGGAGCCGCATGCGACCGTCGCAGATTTAAAGAACCGGCTCAAGCTCAGGACAGGTGTGGGAGGAGACACAATTGACTTAATCTACTCGCCGACGCACAAGGTGCTTTCCCATCAGGAGGCCCCAGCTGCGGCGTATCTCTGGCTCGCATTCTGCGGAGATTCTTGCGCGAGGCGGAGCCCGCGGAGCCCGCCGCTGTTGGAAATGATGCTGAAGCTGTTCCCACGGTGCCATGAGTATGCTGAGTATGCGAAGTCGTGAGGATTGGACAAAATCTACGGTTGGGTTCGCGCCCCTGTTCATGTGTGCAGAATGTTCATTTCCAGTAGGCCTCAGTAGGCTGTCCCAACCAGAGATTTTGTGCTTTTCTCGTGTGCAGATCGGACTTTGCGGAATGGAGATGACTCCGCCCTCGGCAGATTTCACCCGCTCGCTATTTGCATCATTAAGCAACATGTCCGATGCAAAAGCCTGCTGATTGAGGGCAACTTGACCGAAAGTGCACACTTTGTGTTCTGTCCCCACAGCATGAAGGATTCTCTAATATGAAGATGGGCACCCCCAAATATGAGGCTCCGTATTTTAATCGGAACCTCCCACGAGGGATTCTAATCCCGAAGCCCGCCCATCTCCGACCTTGATGTCGGATTCTGTAGAGAAGCGCTGGTCATGTTTATCCCTGTATCCTTGGGTTCACTCCCTCTTGGGGGGGAATATCCGAAATCTGGATCCCGCCCTTACGACCTCATACCCTTCGCCCGTAAGAGCGCGCGCTGCAGGCTCGAGCTGCTGCTGCATGGCAGGATCAGTAGGCCCAGTAGGCCCTTACTTGGGGTTTAGGGTTTAGGGTTTAGGGTGTAGGGTCTAGGGTGTAGGGTCCAGGGTGTAGGGTTTAGATTGTTTGTTTCCGTGAGGCTCATGGCCGGCCTTGCACACAAAAATTGAGTGGAGTGCGCCTTGCGCAGGGTTAAACCTCCCCATTCTAAGAAACATCCTTCTGATGAGTCAGATGCTTCCCTCCCCAAAAACTACGCAAATCCTTGCCTAGCGCGGCACAAGATACACATTCCAAACAACAGAGCGCCCCTAATTCTGACGTGGCTCTGACAACTCGCAGCAGCGACGCCCAGCCCCCCCCATCGGCTGAAACCCTCCCAGGATGGGTATGGCCACCTCCAGCCTGGCGGTGAGTACCCTGGTGGCCGGCTTCTTCGGCATGAACCTCACCAGCGGCCTGGAGGCCTCGTAGTTGCACGCTAGGGTCTCGGGCTCAGAGGCCCTGAAGCTCATTTGGTTCCGCAAAACAAGGACGATCCCGAAAGGCTCAGGAGGCTTCTGTGTGTATAATCGTTCAATCCGAACCCGGAACCCCGAACCTTGCAGGGTGGCTTCAGGGCCCCCCACCGACTTTTTATGGACTCCCAGAACTCCTGCATTCAGGGCTGGGAACTTGGTGACAACTCCACGTAGGGTTTGGGCGTTTGAGTTTGGGTTGCGCGGCTTCTTCGTTAAGGCTTTAGCGCTCTGAGTTTTTGTGGTTGTAGCCTGAACCCGGCACCCTACGTCCTGACCTGTGACAGAGTGGTGTAAGTCATAGGGCCCATTCAAAGTCCTAAAGCCCTCACAGCTTGAAAACACGAAGCCCAAAAAAAGCCCAAGACCCGTACCCTCTAGGCTCCAAGGCCCGAAACCATAAAGCTTCTTACGTCAAAACCCCCCCCCGCCCCCCAAACCCTAAACACACCCGAAACCCTTAAAATCCCTACGCCGGCGGCACAGGAGGTTCCAGGCCTCTTCTGGCTGGCGCTCTCAGGCTGCACAGCCCCCCGGCACGCCGAGACGGGCTTGGGGCATTTGGGGCACTTGGGGCATTTGGGGCACTTGGGGGATTTGGGGTACTTGGGGTATTTGGGGTACTTGGGGTATTTGGGGTATTTGGGGTATTTAGGCTATTTGGGGTATTTGGAGTATTTGGGGTATTGGGGGTTCACGTTGTAGGGTCAGTGGTTTAGTGTTTTGGGCTTTTCGGGTTGTTCGTTTTTTGGGTTAAGAGTTTAAGGTCGTTTGGGTTTCAGGGTTTCAGTTCTCAGAAGACTGCCGTATCCGTGCACGGTGATGGTGGGAAGAGTCGACCGTGGGCGAGAAAGCGTGATGGTTGAGGGCTGAAGCCTAAACCCTAAACCCTCTATAAACCCTAAACAAACACCGCGATGAAGAGATACCAGCGGCACGCGAAAGAATATCTCAACGCCTCTGCATGCCGAGGGTCTCGCCACTGCTCGCCGTCCTTCACGTGGGGTTTCGAGTTTTAGGGTTTAGGGCAGTTTAGGGTTTAGGGCTACACAGCGTTGCGGTGCTTAGCACACGTACGCTGCGCGATGCCCTTAACCTTAAACCCTAAATCCTAGACCCGGCAGACTCGAGCCATAAACGGAGGCCCCGGTTCTGTTCGTTCTACCCTGGATTCATAAAGCATGGGCATCCAAAAGAACACCGTGTGTGGCTTCGATTGGTTTCCTAAAAAGGCTCTAGAAGTCTTAGCGTAGGATGCGGTTTGCCACCCTGGCTACACCTGATTGCTACGCAGGGACTTCCTAGGATTCAAGCACTTCTTACGCAGATACCCTGATGATTCTGCACAAATTCGGGGCTGCCCCACGGCACGCTTTGCAACCTCCTGCGCTCTGTCTCAAGAAGTATCGTGCAGGACAGGCAAAGGCCCCCTAAGAAGCTTCAGTGGGCCGGCTCTCAGGCCTTCAGCATCTTCTTGTTCTATGGCCTCATGGCAGGCTGGCTTTTCAACTTCGAAACCGCAAAAAAAGCCCAAAGGGGGCGGCCCAAAGGCCCCATTCGCCCTGGCAACCCTGCACGGGGCTTCTTATAGATTCTGGGAGGTCCCTGTTTTTTGATATTGTTTTTTGTACTACTATTATTATCATTATTGTTATTGTTATTGTTATTGTTATTGTTAGTGTTAGTGCTAGTGTTATTGTTATTGTGATTGTGATTGTGATTGTGAGTGTGATTGTGAGTGTGATTGTGATTGTTTTTGTTACTGTTAGTGGTATTGGTCTTGGTATTGTCATTATTATTATTATTGTTGCTATTCTTGTTCTTGCTCTTCTTCTTCTTCTTCTTCTTTTATTTTTAATTTTTTTTGGGGGGGGGGGGTGCTCACGATAGAAAAGGTTCCGTATGATCATCGGAACCTCTGGCCCTGAACATGCTCCCCTAAATTGTACGCTGCAGGTGTCCAGCGCTACCACAGCGTCCAGCACCAGCACCTGGCAGAGGTTTCCTCCCTGAGAACTGCCTTGGACGCACTGGACGAGGCTCTTAGTTTCCAGTTGGGCTACGCCTCAAAACGAAGACCCTGAAGAAAGCCCTGACACCATACACCGCGGCAAGTCTCAAACCCTAAGCCCAAACAACCCAAAGCCTAAACCCCCTAAACCCTCAGCCCTAAACCCCCTAAACCCTAAACCCTAAACCCTAAACCCTAAACCCTAAACCCTAAACCCTAAACCCTAAACCCTAAACCCTAAACCCTAAACCCTAAACCCTAAACCCTAAACCCTAAACCGCCTAAACTCCAACCCCCGTAAAATCCTAAATTCCCAGAGGCATACTTCGAGCTGCGAAGGCCTGTCAGCCTCAGCTCGTCCGAGGAGATTCCGTGTTGGGGGTTGGGGGTTTAGGGTTTAGGGTTTAGGGTTTATGCATGCGGTTTTGCGGACTGTCTCGAAGAAGCTCCTTGGAGACAAACTACGTATGACTGAATCATTGCGAATTCACTGGCCAGGCCTTTAGGGTTAGGGTTTAGGGTTTAGTTGTCTCAGGGCCCCTGGCTGGCCTTCAACCCTAAACCCCAGACCCCAAACCCCTTGGAACCTGTAGGCTTGTAATGACTGGCGCGCAGGAGGAGCCCCAAAGCGGGCTCACCAGGGAGGACCTCTTCCAGACCCTGCAGAGCACTGGGCATCTCGGATGCAAGATTGGGAGTTCTCGGATAAGCCTAGGGTGACCCTATGTTGGGTTTTAGGGTTTAGGGTTTCGGGTTTAGGGTTTAGGGATATTGTGGTGCAGGGTTATTGGGGCAGAGTTCTCTGGTTGTGCCGCCACTTTTTTTGATCTTTGAGAAACTTGTAGGGTAGCCATGCGCTGCTCATCACGCAAGCGCTCTGACTCTGAATTGTCACCGAGGTATGTGCTGAATGATGTGGAGCAGGCAGTTGGATTTAAGATTTGGGCAGGCTTGTGATTTGGGCTTGGGATGTTCTTTGGGGCTTCAGGGTTTAGGGAGCAGGTGATGTCCTCCCTTTGTAAATTGTGACTTGGACGTTGGGATTCTGGTTCGTAGGATGTGGCGGCTTGTGGCTCTTTGGTTCTAGACTCAGGCGCTTGATATCCAGCTGTCTGTCTTACTTAAAGCCCTCCGCTGTGCTTAAATTGCTTAAACTCGTCTCCAGCTAGCAATGGGCCTTCAGGTGTCACCTCTCCAGGAAAAAGGTTCAGGGTTCTAATATTTAGGCTTCAGGGCTTAGGGAGCTCTCCTTCATGATATCGGCCTCACCCGACGGTTAGGTTGGAGTGTAAATCCTGAACCCTGAACCGGTAGACCTAGGGTTCAATAGCTTCCGCAGGCCTTCGGCTCTGAAGATACTTGTTGTTGTTGGGCCCTTCCCAGGGTCTCCATTACTGTGGGCTCCTCAGAAGTTCAGTTTCCCATTATTGTGGGCTCCAGGCGATGTTTTTTTTAGCTCAGGATCAGAGCGCCTCCTCGGCATACTGAAGCAACATATAGCAAAATGCTGGTGTCATAATCCTAGATAGATTCTTTCTGTAAGAACAATATTATCCTGCAACAATGTCAAATTGACAGCCCGACATTGGGATGTTCCCCCTTACACTAACAGTCCGTCATAGGGATTCTGGGGTACTTTTATCCCTTTTAAGGGCTGTTAGGATAAGGGGGGAGCATCCCAAACATAACATCATGCTACAATAATGACCCCCCCCACGTGTCACTTGCTCGAGGACCTCCTCTGGGAAGCCATGGATAGCAACCAGGACTTGGAGGTTTGGTCTTCATAAGTAAGAGAAGCACAACTACGAAAAAAAACAAGGAGCAACTGAATACATGAAAAGGCAATATATATATATATATATCTATCTATATATATATGTATATTTCTATATATATATATATATATATATATATGCATGCACGGTCCCAACAAACCTAGATGCCCTAAATCCCCCTGCCCCTTACAAAGTCCATAAGACTCCGAGCACGCCAAAGTCAAGCCGATCCTCCCTGACCCACTGTACTACAGGAGCCTAGTTACGCATATGAACTACCCAAAGCACACGTTAAATCGGCCACGATCTTACGGGAAACCTGACACCCTGCTGAAGCCCTCAACCCAAACGCTGAGGCCGAAGCCCTGTAAGCCCTAGAGCGCCCAACCGCACCTCAACGCCGAACGCGCCCAAACGCTTCGACCTGAAACTCTTAACCCTCAGCTGAAGGACGGCTTCCTGAGCCCCAGTGAGCTGGGTTTTGCGGACCCACGGAGCGTGAAGCAGCGCTAGGCAGACTGTCAGACAGGTTCGCTGAAGGAATCCCGAATGGAAACGTACGCCCTCAGGCATATATGGTTAGTTCTCTACATTACTTAACTTTTAGCATCTTTTAGCGTCCATATTCAAAAAGGGTGGCGGGCCATATCGGGGGCCCCAAGAAGGGATAACGCTATGCGAGCATGCTTGGCTGCTTTATGCTACCCAGGCACCTACTGCCCGAGGGCCCGGGGGATTTGAACTTCCCATACAAGCAATTCCGTCCGCACGGGACCTAGGCAGAAGCGCAGGCGAGAGCACGAATTTGTGTCGTCGGACGTCGAGAGTCCCCGAAGCCTGTGACTGAGCACGATTTTGACCCAAGACGAGCGACATGCCTGCAGATGGGAGCCGCGCAACCGCATCGTCCTACTGTGAACATCGGTTCCTTACGTGGACGGCAGGGCTGGGAGCAGGACTTTGACAGCGAGAGTGTACTCGCAGAGATCATGTATCAAACGTATGGCACTTCCCTGTGATTAGTGTCGTTTCGTCGTGTAGGGTTTGCTTCATGGTTAAGGTCCGCCGGGGTTGGGGCTTCAAAGAGCTGGATGACACGCGCCTGTCGCAGAGGCTGCGCCTTGTACATAGTCAGTAGGTGGTGTGCTGTTGGTGGACGAGCTGGCTTTCGAGCCTCTTGCGGCCATCTTAAGCTAAAGAGGAGCAGTAGCTTTTGAATGCGCTCATAGCACTTAGCAGCAAAGTATCTGCAGGGTGTTGGATTCCGATCGTTTCAGGTCGCACAAAGAATCAGGTCCATGAAGTCGTGAATCCTTACTGCCCGCAGGATCCCCCCTCCAAGCCCGTAAGTTGGCTCGGACGCCATCTCGCAGCGAGCAGTGCTGCACTGTCGCGCGCCCATGGGTTGCAGGAACCAACTGGCCAGGGCTCGTGCGGCAACATGACTGCGTACCAAAAGCTGTTGACCCCGCCGAAGGTTCAAGCTTGACGGGCTTCTAACAACATGGGGCATTCATGGTCCCTTGGACGGCCCTTAGTGGTTCAGGAACATGAACGGGGATCCAAGTCCAAAGCCCGAAGACCTGGACTTGCCACAGAATTGCCTAAAGATCCTCGACCCGACGCATTGAACCTCTAAGAGCCCTGAAGCCCGTAGCCCGAAGTGGGTGGCACGGACTCGAGGAACAAGGTAGTTCTGCAGTCACTATTCCTCCATTCCATACTGGCCGAGGGTAAGTGAACCCTGAAGCCTCTGAATCGCAAACGCAAGCCCGACCAACTCGACACAGGATCTGATTCAATGGGGCGCGAAGGTGTTTTCGCCGCGCTGGGCCCAGATGGGTTGGAGTTGATGTTGGGAGGCGAGGCCCTAAACCCTACACCCTAAACCCTAAGCCCCTAAACCCTACACCCTTAACCCTAAACCCTAACAGGGCTGGATTGCTTGCTTTTTGGCGTTGGAAGCTAAGCCCTGAGCTCCACCTTCCGTAGCCCAAGGGCCAGTGTGTTGAAGTTGTGGAGATGTGATCGGAATTGTGGACCCTCTTCGGTACCTTTAACTGCTAAGGGAGAGGCCACAGGGGGCCTAGTCCCCCAAAGTGCACCTCGAGGGATGCAGCTTATCCAAGAGAGGGGTGCCCTTACGCAAGGCTTCTGTAAGGAGCCTCTCAGGGCACAAGGGCAGAATAAACCCACCTGAAACTGTCTTTTTGTTAAGAGGGCTAACCGAACTCCTTACTTCCTGGAGTTGGTTTCCTGAGCCCCCTAAAGCCCTTAAATTCCAAGCCCTAAACCCCTAGAAGGCCCTTGAAGCTCAGAGTGAGGCCCGGTGGGACCTTTGGTGCCGACAAGGCGGGCCAACCTAGCAGAGGTGACACGCTTGTTGAGTGTTGATATCTTCTCGGAGGGGTTGGAGGGGGGGGGGGGCTGGGGGCTTGCTGGCCGAGCAAGTCAGACTCGACCCATCACCACCATCACATTGTCACCCTTGTCGTCTTCACCACCCATTCCGTTTTTGTTGGCATTGTTATCATCATGGTCATCTTCGTCGTCATCATCCTCATGATGGTCGTGACGGTCATGGTGTCCCACACAACCCGGACCTCCCCCCCCCCCAAGAACGAACCACAAACAACCACAAGAAGCTACCGAACCCAACCGAACCCCGGAATCAGCAAATCAGGCCACTAACCCCGGAAGGACTACTGCCACATCGGAATTTCCGAGTTGCAGTACCTTCTCCTGAAGTGCTTCGGCATCTCCAGTCCTGGAGGTTGAAGGAGTGCTCTTTTCGGACTTGGGTCTGTTCATATTTGTTCTTTTCGGGTTCAGGGTTTTGGGGCGGATTTTTTGTCCGCAAGCAGGAGCGTTTAGGGAAAAGAGGAGCACACCTGGCTGAATGGGTGGAGCGCAGCTTAGGAGCATTGTCTATGTCTATGCTGGTTAGGATCTTCGCGGGCACTAATTTAGGGCTTCTATAGCAAGCGCCAGATAAAGACCCAAGGAACCTCAAATCCTGAAGAAAGAAACCGCAGCCCTACTGTCGAGTAAGACCCCCACCCTACCACCCCAGAGGAGCCGCTGCCCGCTGCAAGCATTAGGGGTGGATCTAAACAGGCGCAAGTTGCATCAGTGGCCATCCCCATGTTCTGGAGTAGCAACGCTGGTTCTCAAACGACTCTTAGACTCTGCACCTTGACTCGGGTGATGTTGAAGCATTCTAAGGCCTGCCTCTTTGGCAATATTGGCCTTTAACCTACTGGCTCGTAGTAGAAAATGCGGGACTGTGGAATTTGGCAGCCCACATAATCCCTGAAAGCTTGGAGTTTGAGTAGGCCAGGTAGTCTCAACCTCAGGCTGTTGGGCTTGGTGGGCTTAGATGGGTAGTAGCCCGATGCATGTTTGGGGTTTGGTGGCGGGAGGGTGGTTATCTAGATCCTGGGCTCGTTCCGGGGGGGGGGGGTCTCTTTCTCATCATCTAGATCACAACCGCCCCATGGATCAGGTTTTACGTGGGATTTAGGGGTTTAGGCACCATGTAGTTCCCTTGAAGGGGAATGATCTATGGCAATGATTTCCCACAGTCACAATGAAGAGCCAGTAAGGTCTAGGGTATGCGGCAACAGCATGCTAGTGGCTGGTGCTCCTTATCTTCTTGTTTTGCACACGGGGGATGGGTTCCCTTGTATGCCATGAACGAGGAGGTATCCTCTTTTAGGGCCAAGAAGGCGATTTCATGCAAAGCCTAAATCCTAAACCCCAAGCCCCAGACCCCTCTTCCTTCCGGGATAGGCCTGCCAAGTGTTCAATCAAGGTGCTGTCTCCTCCTCGGGGTCAGCGTGGGGCTGCCCAGAGTTTCTTCTTTTCCATATGTAGGAACATCTTTTGGAGGGTTTTAAGGGGTCAAGCTAAGTATGCAAGTTCCTGGATAGTGAAAGGTTTCTATCTTCTTGTCCTTCCTTGCTACCGACCTTGAGAAAATTGAACAGCATTGGGCATCTACTCATTCAGCAGAACCTCAGCCAATCGAACCAGACGTGAGCGGCATCGGGGCACGAAAGGCATAGTTGACATGTGGCTCCTTCGACAGAGCCTGGAATGCGTCAGTCCTTTCAAAGCCGTGGGGGCTGAGAAAGGCTTAGCTAAAGCTGAAATGCTGTATCTAAGCCTCAATTCACCCGTCTAAACAGCTGCAGAGGTCGAGTTGGGCGTGGAGTGCCCGCCCCAGCGCGGCAGCATGCGGTCTGTACTCTCAACTACGGACCCTTTTTCGGAGGCATCCTAAACACACAGCAGTAAACAAGGAGCAGAGCTCCGCAAACCTGGGGTGTCGTGCTTAAGGATCTGCGGGATTTTGGGGAATCAGGCGCTTATCAGGTTCAACCGTGTTTCTTTTGCTCAGTAGCCTCAACCCTAAACCCTCTAGGGCCCTACGCCTTTCCCTGGTTTCGTTTAGGGTTCAGGGTTGCGTGTCCCTCCTATGTCTAGTTCAGCCAAAAGAAAAGGCTTATCTCATTAAGCAAAAGGTACCTCTAGGGTGATTAGGAAGCAGCATTCAGCCATGCAAGGTTTCGCGACACGGTGCACCGACCTGGTGAAGGCACAGTTGCCGATGCAGGGTTGAGGGATTCAGGTTGAGGGTTTAAGACCTTGGGGGTTTGAGGTTTTTGAGAGTTTTGAGGGATTATGGTTGAGGGTTTAAGAGCCTAGGGGTTTAGGGTTGCGAGGGCTTACGTGTCAGTTCTTTAGGGTCTTAAGGGCCGCGCCCGAACCCCATGCATCGTGTACCCCGAGGAGCTCCAAATTCATGCGGGAACCCTGGACCTCAAACTCGAGATATTCGGATTTTCCCCTTGTAGCTGCAACCGTCTTTAATAGGGATGCAAAAACAGGGCGCGCTGGCAGTGATCCATTGTGGTATGCCCTAAGCGGGAGAAGCGCAGCGAAGCGCAGCCCTTGTTCCCAACAACCCTGAATCGGTTCAGCTCTCCACCCTCTGGCCCTAAAAACCCCCAACCCCTCCCAACCCCTCCCAACCCCTCCCAACCCCTCCTAACCCCTCCTAACCCCTCCTAACCCCTCCTAACCCCTCCTAACCCCTCCTAACTCTGAACTAGGTTGGATTGCCATCACAGAGCCTCCGTTGGTCTCGGGCCAAGGTTCGGGTGTTTGAGCTGGGCCGAAGGGCTTCATGCGCTTGTAAGCTGCGGAGTTTCCCCAAGTTCTTGGTGAGTGTATAAAGTCATCCGGACCTTTTCGTATATTTGGGGATGCCCTTTTGGGGATACTGGCAATAAAGACGCCGAGGTGGGACCCGAGCTCGCGGCGCACGCCTTGGTCTGCTGCCGGGGGGGCCCAGCACCGTGGGTAAAGCCCGACGCAGATAAGGCTTAAGAAGTCTAGTTTAGAGGTGCCTTTAACAATCTGCGGCGCTCAGCTCTCCATTCCAGCTGCATTAAATCTCAAGCAGGGGAAGGGCAACTCCAAATCGAAGAAGGCTTCCCTGGGAGTAGGCCCCGAAGCCCTGAACAACACACAGCTCTTAACAGACCACGAGGCCCAGCCTGGAAGCTTCGGGTTAAGGGTTTCTTCCTCTCTTGATTGTGGTGAGCGGCACTTCAGATGAGGCAGGGTGCTGGGTTGAGGAGGATTTTGCCAGGTTCGTCAATCCCTAAACCAATCAATCCTTACACCTGGAACGATTCAAAGCCCCAAGCAAGCCCCCAAGCACTTAGCGCCCTTTGCACTTCGTCCCCCTGCTCTCCACCAGGCGACGGCGCAGCCTCCCGGATCGCAGCTGCGCGAGGCCTGGGGACGTTCGGGCAGTCCGATGCCGAGAGTTTTGATGTCTTGGAGGGGCGGGGGCAGTAGAAGTTTTAGAGGGTTGAAGGGTGTGGGGTGGTAAAATCCTGGCGTTTGACTTTATTCCGTCAGTTGTTTGAGCTTGCGTTGTGAGTTTGGGGTGGTATCTCGAGGTTTTGTGGGTGTCCAGTGCAGGGTTCAGTATAGGGGTTTATCGGTCTCGGGTGTAGCTCAGAGTTTTATGTTTTCTCTTGGGAGGTGGGCGAGGGTGGGTCAGAATCCAGGCAAAAGACGAAGAGGCACAGCCAAAGACCATCGTCAATTTCTTTCCGTTTTATTCCTGATCTAGCGTTCTTTGGTGTCGGTAAGGTCCGTCTGAACGGTGTTGCTCAAAGAGATGTTACATTGGTATGCGTGCGGTCAAATGTCATACCGCGGTCTGCAAAGCATACAAGGTCGATGTAGAGTCTAGAATGTCCTTCAATACATCCGCGCTTTTGCACATCTTCAAGAATGGCAAACGGGAGCATCATGTCGCAAGCGTTGCTTTCAATCATCAGGCCAGGAGGTATGCTTGGCTGCAGCGATGTTGCCCTTCCCCCCACCCTGTCACACACCCCTCGCACACTCCCAACACCCCAGCGCTATGCCCGAAAACCCAGCACCCTGCCCCAGTCTCGCCTTGCAGGTGCCACAACCGTTTCTGGCGGCCTGGGCAAAGAGGGCCAGGCAGAGCTGAGCGCGAGGTTTCAATCCAACCTCGAAGTTTCGAACTGCGCCCCAAAAAGGATGTCCAGGTCCCTCACAAACAAGAGCAAACAAAAGAGCAGTGCTCCTTGGAGCTAAGAGGAGCGACCACCTGGGTGAATACTTTGTCATGAATGGTAAGCTTGCTGTTCTTTCGTCATATGAGAACCTCTTCAACAAGATTGTTGTCAAAGGGCCAACCCTGCAGGCACCAGTTAGCCTTCAATGTTCTCACTCTCAGCCCTGATTCTGAAACGCCAGAAAGTGGGTTCCAACCCTAAACCCTGAACCTGAACCCTCATCCCTTGTGAGGCAATCGGGGTCGTGGCCAACTTTGTGAACGGCCGCTCGGCCAGTTTACGGTGGCTTGTATCTCTTAACGGTCTTAACGGACACTAGCTATAGCTTCATTGCTCCAATGTGTAGTGGTGTGTGCCGAATGACAACCTGGGACGACCAGATTGGCTTCGCAGTTGATGCGTATTGTCGGTTCCCTAAACCATGGGGGCCAAATTACAGCAGGATCCAACGAAGATCCAGATAGAGTAATCATCTGCAGGGTACTTACGTCCGAATTGGACAATAGGCCTAAACTTTATCTAACACCTAGCCCTGGACCTGCGCGGACTAGCGGCGTCGCAGTGGAGACCGTTGGACCACGGCCACCAAATGCGAAGTCTCAAAGTTCGCGCGACGCAAAAGTACGAGAATCAAAAACAATAGAATATTACAGACAACATTACAGCAAACTATGCAGATGCAATTTTCGCTTCATGAACTGCAATACATGTTGTATTGCATGCAAGACCCTAAACTTTTTCAACCCCAGACCCCGAGCCCTAAACCCCAGAACCCTATCACCCCGAGTCCCAGGTCGCAGCAAAGCCGAGCGAGACCTTCGCCAGTTCTCCTGGGCCAGGTTTGCGAGGGCTGGGGAGGGGGGGGGGTTTAGGGCGGTTTAGGGTTTAGGGTTCGGGCTGAGGGCTTATGATTCTACAGCGGTTGGGCTTCGGAGATGAGGGTTTTCCAAAGTTGGGAGTTGGTTTTCCCCGGCGAAGTACAGAAAAGATTCTTGGGGGTGGTTGAAGCGCATTTGTTTCGGGCTTGCAGTAGCAAAGGCTTGGGAGCAAAACACGGCATGACCGTCGCACCGCAGATTTGGTTGTTTTCCAAGGAGTGTCGAGTTTGCGGTTTAGGGTGTGACACATCTCCCATTTCTTAGACACTTTCCGGGCCAACGCTCTCGCATGAAAAGGAGAGTTTCTAGATGTAGTCTTCTTGTATCCGCAGCATCGCATCTTCCAGAGGGTTCGAGGTACTAAGCTCATTTAGCCATGCTTCCCGCATAGCCCTAGACCCTAAACCCTAAACCCGATACCCTAGACCCTAGACCCTAGACCCTAAACACTAAACCCTAATTAAGCCCGAATTCCTGAGGCAGTTCAACACAAGCCTCTTCAAGAGTCTGAAGCAGAAGGCCTGGTCCTGCTCCGATTCCCCCATCGTTTCGAGCCTGAACCGTGGGAGCCCAGGGTATAGGAGATTCTGTCTATGGGTTTTGGGTTTAGGGTTTCGGGTTTAGGGTTTAGGGTTTGGGGTTAAAGTGTAGGGCTGAAGGTCGGGGATTTCTCTTGCGCCGTTTGCTGGCTCCTTCAAGCACTCCAGCAGGTGGGCGCTGATCTGGAGAACATCGTGTACTACCGGGGCGAAGAGAGCACCTGTCTCAGCTTTGTGTCCAAAACTCTCAGCCTCAAAACCACTAAACCCTAAACCCTAAACCCCAAACCCCAAACCCCAAACCCCAAACCCTAAACCCTTTACTAAATTCTAAACCCTAAACCCAAAACCCTCAACCCTAACACCCCAGCACTCTAGCACCCGAAACTCTCAGACCAGGAGATCCCCCCCTTGGCCCGAAAACCTTAAAGCCGAAGCCTTCTGAGCCCCAGAAGCCCTTAAAGCCCTGAGCCTTGAAAACCCTCCGAGACCGCAAACGGCTTCCTTGCGCGCTTCAGGGGAGTCTTGAAAGATGAAGTCAAACCTCGAACCTGGGTTTAGGGTTGAGGGTTTAGGGTTTGGGGCTTTCCCCCCCCCCCCCCCCCCTTCACCCTTCTTCAGGTTCCCTGGCAACAAACTCCATGCAAATGCAACAGGGTGCCCCCTTGTTGATGTTCCTCGGTTGTACTGTGGAATCCAAACGAATCGAACATCGAGTTCTCGGTTTCGTTTCTTTCGGGTTGAGGGCTTCGGGCTCAGCGCTTTGCATCTTAGGGTGTAGGCAAGAAGCCCGAAAACCCCACAAGCGAGGCCCTGGAGCCCTTGACCCGAAAGGCTACACCCCCTCAAATCCTTAAGCTCTTAACCCTTCAAAGACCCCGAACCTCTAACCCCCCAAAAGCCCTGAACCCCTAAACCCTAAAACCCTGAAGCCCCAAACCCTTAAAATCCCGGAAGCCCTCAACCCCTAAAAAGGCACAACCCCGGAACTCCCGAGAGGCCACTACATGATCATGACCCCCTCGAAGCAGCCCGGCACTCGGGTCGGAGTTTGGGGTATAGAGTTCAGGGTTGTTAAGGGTTGTTAAGGGTTGTTAAGGGTTGTTAAGGGTTGTTTAGGGTTGTTTAGGGTTGTTTAGGGTTGTTTAGGGGTGTTTAGGGTTGTTTAGGGTGGCTTAGGGTTGTTTAGGGTTGCTTAGGGTTGCTTAGGGTTGTTTAGGTTGTTTAGGGTAGCTCAGGGTTCAGGGTCGTGGGCTGTTTTGGGCTATTTGGGGTGTAGGGTGCAGGGTTGTTTAGGGCTGTCTGGGCTGTTTGGGGGTTGAGGGTTCAGGCCTTCTGCCAGCGTAAGAACGCGATCTGGCCCTCAATGCCCGTGTTGTGCTTTGGGGTAGTAACCCTGCCCGTAAACCCTAAATCCCCCGAAGACTGGGTTTTGGAGTACTATACTTTATTACTTGTTTTGGTTCTGGGTTCCTCTTACAGCTGCTTCTACCTATACTTTATTACTTTTTTTCGTTCTGGGTTCCTCTTATAGCTGCTTTACCTAAATAGTACATATTTTTTCCTCCCCAGGGTCTACTCCATAGTAGGGAAAACTACATCACTCAGGTGCCTGGTTGAGAAGGGCTGCCTCCACAATGCGGAGCAGCTGGATGGCGTCCGGGCCTTGGGCAACCATGACGCGGCCCAGGGCGAAGGAGGGTTTAGGGTTCAGGGTTCAGGGTTTAGGGTTCAGGGCTCCGGGTCTCCCGATCGTCATCACTCGTCCTCGTCTTGCAGTGACAGGTGCAGGTTTTTGGGGTGATTAGGTTCCCAGGTGAAACCTATGATGCAAGAATGCCCTTCTTCTGATTTCTACACGTAAACCCTAAAACCAGCCCGGTCTGGTTCTAGTTCTTTGTAGAGAGTATGGGGAACTAGGTACTTTATATTCTCCTATCTGTATATGTATATATGTCTTTGAAGGAGCCTACGTCCCCAATTCCTTTCCAAGAACCAGAAAGTTTTGTTGACTTCACAACCTCAAATGGAGCCCTGAGTATGGAGGGTCCGTGCATGCGAATTTCCACATGAAAGTCCATTTTGGGTATCCTTCCTCAAACAAATGGGGGGCCTAAATTTGGCAAACGCCATAGGGCGAGTTCTCGGCGGCCCTGTACGGTCCTGGAAGGGCTGGGGAGACTGTCTAATCTGACGTAGAACTAGCTCTGAACCCTACACCCAGTCGGCCCAGCTCCGTCCCGCCACAAGTGCACGAATGGGAGGCGCTGTTTGGTCCGTTAATTGCACCTTTGCAGCCTATCCCGCCTCTCCAGGCTCCGCTGTTGCACCCTTCGAACGCGCGGCCCCCTGATGGGAGCTCGGAGCCTTAGGCTGCGACGCAAAAATCTTGGGGGAGAAGCCCAAGCCCAAAGCCCCACAGCCCTTAAGCCCAGGACGTCAACCTGCTCTGAAGCTCCAACTATTGAACCGCTGTCCCTGGTGAGGTCGAGATCGATAACCTCAAGGGACTGGCGCAGGAGGTGGGGGATGAACAGTCCAAGGGCTGGGCAAGAAACCTTCAAGCTTTAAACTCTGTACACAAACCGAAGTTCGAAACATCCCAGCTTCTCTAGCTCTAGCTCTCTCTTTCTCTTTGTTGGCTTTGCTGCTCATCTGCCCTCGGTTAATTCTTTTGTTGGATGCCGCGTGGAGTCAGCATTGGTGGTGCAGCAGATGTAGGGTTTCGGGGACTCAGCACGTAGCGGCTGTGATCTTTGCTTTCCATGGGTATGACCAGGCCTCCAGTTCCAATGACACATGTCGAGGTTGTTCCCCCTTATAGCTGCAGTTCATCTGATCATCGTCAAGAATCCAGAATCACAAGAAAGATCATCCCTACTCGAAACCCTTAGCTTAGGGTCCCGCACCTTTGAGTGCAACGCGCAGTCCAACGTGCAGTCCCTGGGAGCCGCAGGTTGCACAGCATTTCGGCTTGCCCACGGAGTTCACGCCAACACAGTCGGGAGCTGTAGGTGTTCCTGCAATTTCGTCAAAGCGGGTCAGCTTCAACATGGCGGTGCTGCGGCTGTCGGCATGGTAGAGGTACCGTTTATGTTCAAAATACAGGGAGGCCAGAACTCCACCCTTTAATGTGATTGAGATGCAGGGCCTGCGGGTTAGCAGTTGTTGTGCCAACGCCCTACCCACAGGGAGCTCGTGCACCAAGGCTTCCTGCACACTGCTGGCCGGGTGTGAGGGCAGGGCAGGATGCCTTGCTGCAGCTACGCACGAGACGCGTACATATGGCTGCAGCAAGCGCAGAGACCGCGCCCTTGAGGCCAACGTGTCCAGGTGCAGGACATATGACAGCGGGGACCAATGCGCTAACGTGCCCTGCTGGGGGACCGCTGTTGAATCGGCTGCTAGCGGCCGACTGTCCAAGTGGGGGAGGCCTTGTCGCTTCTGTAGAGACTGGCAATCCATTTCAGGGAGCCAGTGTGCTTCCTGTGCCGTTTGCAGATTGTTTGTTGGCATGCTTCTTGTTGTGCGCGCGACGGACACGACCTCTTTTCACCGAAGGTGCTCCTTTTCAGCTCACTCCTTGCAGCACGAAGGTTTTGTGACCGAAGTTGATCCGTCTTGTCTTAGGAGGCCGATGTTGACACTGCAGGCGCCCAACGAGAGCTTCCAATCTTCTCAAGGAGCCCCGAAAGATTGAAACTTAGGCCTGAGGCCCTACACAAAAAATCTCACATCCTTCAACCCCCCCTTACAGCCGCGATCTCGAGGTCGGTCATGGTCTTCGACTTCTCCGACACCAAGCGCCACGACCAGGCGTGGGTGCATGCTGGCCTAGGGCTTGGGGCTTCAAACCTCCCTAAGCCCTAAAGCTCCTAAACGCCCTGAACCACCAACACTCCCCAAACTCTCTAAACTGCTCCCAAACCTAAAAATGCTCTAGCTCCCCCCCCCTGCCGGCCAAACTCCCCACACTACCTCAACCCAAAAAACCACAGCCCGAAACCCTCAACCCCCCTAACCCACCAAGGAAAGGTGACTTAAGAGACCCGAAACCCCGAAGCATAGACCCTGGCCCCAGGCCCTAGACTCCAGATGCTAGCCTAAACCCACTAGACTTGGGAGGCGCTACTCTTCCAGGAAGCCCCTGGGGCGGCCTGGGACCTGGCTGAGCTTGAGAGTGGGCATAGAGGGCTGTGGGGGCTGTTGGGGGCTGTTGGGGGCTGTTGGGGGCTGTTGGGGGCTGTTGGGGGCTGTTGGGGGCTGTTGGGGGCTGTTGGGGGCTGTTGGGGGCTGTTGGGGGCTGTTGGGGGCTGTTGGGGGCTGTTGGGGGCTGTTGGGGGCTGTTGGGGGCTGTTGGGGGCTTGTGGGGGCTGTTGGGGGCTGTTGGGGGCTGGGGGGGCTGTTGGGGGCTGTTGGGGCTGTTGGGGGCTGTTGGGGGCGTTGGGGGCTGTTGGGGCTGTTGGGGGCTGTTGGGGGCGTTGGGGGCTGTTGGGGGCTGTGGGGGCTGTTGGGGGCTGTTGGGGGCTGTTGGGGCTGTTGGGGGATGTTGGGGGCTGTTGGGGGCTGTTGGGGGCTTGTGTTGGGGGCTGTTGGGGTCTGTGGGGGCTGTTGGGGGCTGTTGGGGGCTTGTGTTGGGGGCTGTTGTGGGGCTGTTGGGGGCTGTTGGGGGCTGTTGGGGGCTGTTGGGGGCTGTTGGGGGCTGTTGGGGGCTGTTGGGGGCTGTTGGGGGCTGTTGGGGGCTGTTGGGGGCTGTTGGGGGCTGTTGGGGGCTGTTGGGGGCTGTTGGGGGCTGTTGGGGGCTGTTAGGGGCTGTTAGTCTTCAGGGTTTTGTGGATTGGGGGTACGAGCGATTGAGGGTTCGGGGCGTAGGGTTTTTTCGGGGGTGAGGGGTTTTTAGGGGGTTCCAATGTGCTAAGCGCCTTGCAACACTACAGCCCTGAACCCTAAGCAGCCCTACGTCCGTAACCGCCAAGCCGCTTTTTTTTGGGGTGAGGGGTTTGCGAGCTGAGGACCAGCCTCTTCCCATCTCTCTGGCAGGCCTTGGCATGCTTCCGAAGCACAGTCTTTTTTGCAAATCTTGCATTTTTTTGTGTCATTGTGTTCCCCAGAAATCCCGAAACTCTGAGCATTGAAGCCCCAGAAGCCATCGAGCCCAAGAACCCCAGGACCCTCAAGCTTGAGGGTCACGCTGTGCAGACCTCAGGCGATGCGTTGCTGGAGCCCTTCTGGCCCACAGGCCAGCGTGACCGCGGCTTGCGGGCTTCTTTGGGAGGGGGCGGTGGCCTTCGGACCCCCAAAGCTCCGAGCGTGAAGCCTCAGGGGAGCAAGCTCAGCGTTCAGAAATAGCTATGATACAAGCGACGGCAGCGTCATAGCACCCTTTGCTCTGGGAGGGTTTCTTAGGGCTTTTAGGGTGCCCCAAACCCTAAACCCTGAACCCCAAACCCGAAACCCGAAACCCAGAACCCTGAACCTTAAACCCTGAATCCTAAAGGGTTTTTTTAGGTCACAGGCGCGTTAAAAACCTGGTGACTTGGAGGTGCGGACGTTGTTTTCGCTTGGGTTTTAGCCGCGCCAGCACTGTCTGCATGTCCATTTTCTCAGAACGCTCGAATTAGGTCAGGTCCTTCCGCAGCCAGAAACACTGAGATTTCGCAATTAGTATCTGTAGCTGAAGAAGTTCGAGTTCTCCTCAGAACTGAATTATATGACACAGAAGTATACATACATGACTCCTTTCAGGCAAACAAGCACATAAAACCATGGTTTTTACGATGTTTCTTACGACATGCACACAAGGGTCAGTTTTGTGTATGTTTGTTTTTTTGTTTTGTTTTCATGTTGCTTCTGCTGGCAGTTGTTAGTGGGTCGGCGTCATGACGACACACCGTTCGCATACGCCTTGTGACAGTGCGTCTTGTTGCAGAAACGTCAAGCATCCTGGTGCAGCATGTTGTGTAGAGGAGCAAAAACGCTATAAATACCGGTGTTTTGGGCATGGATACAGTAACATGGTCGTAACCAGACCCCCCGCCCCCCCCAAACCCCACGAAACAAGCAGGTTTTTTTACGCCGCCTGCTTCCTTTTAGGAGCCTTCCATGGCAGGCCTCGGGTGCATCCGCGGGTTCCTGGGAGCCATGGACGCGGTGTCTTGCGAGGAGCTGAGGGGGAAGACGCCTCCCCAAGCCCATCCAGAAAGACCGCAACCCCTAAGCCCTGAAACCAGGAGTCTGCCCCCCAAGCCCTTCACCCTGAACTCCGTAAGCCTGTAAGCCTGTAAGCCCTAAACCCTCAACCCTAAACCCTAAGCCCTCAACCCTAAACCCTAAAACCTATACGTGCTGAACCCTCGGCCCCGACAAGCCCAAACCCCAAAACCCCCAAGAACCTAGGCCTCGGCTCCTTCTTCGTGACTGGGGACCGGGACCAGGTGCATCCGGTGCGTTGCCTTTGGCCCTGACGGCTTTGACGTTGAGGGGTTTAGGGGCTTGGGTTTAGGGGGCTTCGGGGCTTTGGGTTTTAGGGGGTTCAGGCTGTGTACGGTTTTACGGTTTCGGACTTTGGGGTGTGTGTTCAGGGTTCAGGGTTCAGGGCTGAAGGTGTTGCGGCTTTCAACAAAAGTTCGCAGGTTTAGGGGGTTGGGTCTTCGCTCCCGGTGCGCTGTTCTTCTTGTTGGGGCTTGTATTACATTAGGGTTTAGGGTTTCGGGTTATTCCCCCTTGAACCCAAACTTGGGTGTTTGTGCTTGGCACCCTCGACTCTTAAACCCCGAAGCCCCCAACTGCACAACACTCGCCCAACAACGGACCACCTTGGGACATTTGATCTTTTCCTAAATTTTTGTTTAGGAATATTTTCCAAAGGGTTTTCGCCCCTTAAGGCCTAAACCCTAAATTTACAAGCGTACATTTAAAGGGGTCCGCAGTGTGGAACAATCCCGGGGCATCTGCGAAGCCTGGGTTTTGGAGCATCAAAGCTTCAGGGATTAGGGCTTTTAGGGTTTTTAGGAATTTGAGGGCTTTTAGGGTTTTTAGAGTTTTTAGGGTTTTTTGGGCATTTAGTTTTTATTCCACAGGTAACTTCAGTGCAGGAGGGCGCTCGCCAAAACGTCTGAGCGGAAATAAGTTCAGGGTTGAGGCTGAGGGCTTAAGCTTACACACCCCCACCCCCCCCTTCCCCCAAACCGACACCTTGTACTTTGTTGAGGTAGCCCAAACAACCACAACCCTCCCACCCCCTCCCCCCACCCCCTCTTAAGTGAGCAGCTTGGGACGAGGCCCTGAGGAAGGCAGAGGCGGCCTACAGGCGAACCCTGTGCTAGCGGTGCCAGCTCTTCTTGAAGCCAGCAGTTGTGATACCGCCTCCTGACACAAAACCCCCGAACCCTGATTCTCCCTGAGCCCTAAAACTTTGAGTTATGGAATCAGACCCTTCTCCATCAAGAAAGCCGAAGATCGTCTTGACACCGACCCTAGAGCCTGAGGTGCTTCGACTAGGGGTATAGATGGGATACTCGGGTTTCGGGTTTTGGGGGTATTGACGGGGATGTTGTGCTGTTCTTTTCGGAATCCGCTTTCTCGCTTCCCCTCGAGCGACAGGAAAGTGTCACTCCTGGATACTGAAGACTCTAAACCCCAAACCAACATAGGAGCCCCTTTGGACACGCCCACCCAAGCTCGGAGCTGTACTGTCGCAGGGGAACAAGCTTGCTTCTTGGTCTCCACCCCCTAGTAGTCGTGTCCCATGATTGTTGTAGGGCCGAAATCCTGAATCCTAAACCCTAAACCCTAAACCAAATGCACCTCTAGTCCTGGGGAAAAAATGGCAAAAGGGGGGGAGGCCGACTTTGGTGTTCTTGAAGGCCACCGTGCAAAATGCCCGATGCCCTAGCCCCCAAGCCCGAGGCCCCAAACCTTAGAAACCCTGAGCCCTAAGCCCTAAACCCTAAAGCCTAAACCCTAAACCCTAAACCCTAAACCCTAAACCCTAAACCCTAAAGCCCGAAGCTCTGCTAGGGCGCTGAAGTCGGTGGACGCTCAGACGAAGGACGCTCATCATGTTTCCGACCCTTTGGTAAGCCTTTGGGCGTCCAGGATACCAAGTGGTGCCCTTGTATAGTACTTTTTGAGGGTTTGGGGCTTAGGGTTAGTAGCCCTAAACCCTAAACCCACGAGCCCTACGAAGCCCGAGAGGACATGACGCTAAAGCCAGATGCCGAGTCTCCGCCTGAGACGCTTGAGGGAAGTGGCACCAAGGACACAAAGAGGTTTGATTTTATAGTTCAAGCCGGGGGTGAAGTTGAGGGTTCAGACGTGTGTATCCTGAGAAATATTCGTGTGTATACACTCGTGCTGCTTGATTCACAATGATTGGAAGCAGCAACTTGATGACACCATTGGCATCGGCACTCTCTGTCCTCAACACTGTCTTCTCGACTTCTTTGCTTAGCACAAAATCCAGGCTGTCTCACTTTCATATGACTCACGACCCCGTGTCCGTAGTAGCAGCAAACAGATGTGCGTGAAGAGGCGTCCTCCCGCCTAAGCGGCGCTCCTCTCCTAAAGCACACATGACATAGGCCAACCTTCGCCCCGAAGAAAGTGCCCACGCCTCGGCAAACCACACTGAAGCGGGTTGGACCGGAGCAGTGCAATCCACTCCCCAAAGCTCGGCAAGCTGCCCTGAGGCCTGAACCCTACACCTCTACCCTCAGCCCTGGCTTAGAAGGTGGCGGATGGAACCCTCCACACGCTACAAGCACATGTGAGCCGCGGGCATAGCAGTGGGGGGGGCGTGAACTGCACAGTTGTGTCAGCCGCTTTGTTGCTTGAAGGTTGCTTAACCTAGGGGCTGGGGGATTTTCGGGGGGGGGCAGGTTTAGTTTCAGTAGAACAGGGATGGTTTTTGGGTACAATACTGGTAATGATTCAGGCTCTGGATGGCCTTAAACCTTAGGCCCAGCAGCTGCAGGAAGCTGCGACGGCCTCTGTATCTACTATAAGCGGTCGGAATAATTACTAGTAGCATTCCCCCTAGGGTCCCTGTTGTAGTTATACTATCATTGTAACCCTCCAAAGACCTGTTCTAATTATTCAGGCCCCTGTATTCCTCAGTGCGAAGATCCCCCAGCCCCGTGCGCAACCCACAGGTCTATCAGCTCGATCCAGGCGCCCTCTGCGAAAATTGACCTCGTCTGGTCGGTGATCAGCCAGGAGGTTCTGGGCACGGGCCAAGCTTAGTTTAGGGTTTAGGACTTCGGAGTTTTAGGGTTTAGGGTTTCGGGTTTAGGGTGTTTGTGCCAAGCTTGGGCTTTGCTTTCAGCCGCACCCGGCGGCGGAGAGGGATGCCAGCTGCAGATGTCCGGACGTCCAACTCGGCCACAATGCCAGTCTAGAGAATGATGAGAAGTACCAAATTTAGCAGGCATGGCGATGATGATAAGAATAATCATCATGGTTGGTGGGTCTACTCTTTAAGGCGAAGGGTCAAGGCCCCGGTACATGTCTGAGTTTGGGTCCTTGCAGCGCATCCTTAGCAAATGTTCGAAGTAGCCTCCTCTGCCCAGCACTGCCTGGAGGACTCCTTGTCCGCAGCAAGATAGGAGCCTTTGCTTCATGAGATGCGCTGGGCTGCCGTATCTTCCGTCATAGAGGAGGCCACTTCCCCTTGGGCTCTGCACGCGGGCGTGATGCCACGCGAGAGCGCACCGCGAAGAACGCCCGGCCTCAAGGACAGAAACGTCCGCCCAGCGTTTAGGGGTTTCAAGTAAAAGCCCCCGACTACGCCCCCATGACTACATTTCCCTTCCCAGTGCCTGGCAACATGAACAGCATCAGTGTCTTTTGTAGGAGCGGTGGGCCGAACTGGGCTTGAGGTGGGCATGTCATCGGTTCAGGACCGCCTCCTTCGGCGCTTAAAGCGCTTGGAGAGTGGGGCAGAAAAAGTCGGAGCGTCTATGTTTTGCAGTTGAGGCTCCGGGGTTCGGCGGCGCTGCGGCTTGTGTTTCAAGCAGTTTGGGAGTCCGTTTGGGAGTCCGACTTCTTCGTTGAGCATTTGGGCTGCATGCATGCGCCGCACATCCCGAGTCCGTCTGCCCAGCATGTCAATGTCAAGGTAAATAGCGAAAGTTGCTTCATGCCTGATGCCCTATGACTTGCAAGGTTCAAGCCCGAGTAAGCCTAGTATCGAGAGCGCAGCACTGCCGTTGAGGCGTAGGGTCCCCCAGGGCCTTTTTCTCCTCATCGAGCACGCCAGAGAGCGCAAGCGCGGAAAGAAGCGCGCCGAGAGCTGCGCAGGGCTTTGAAGGAGTGGAAGGAGTCCTGGCTCTGGTGGCTGTGCGGCGTGTGCTAGCTGGAGCCTTGCCCACGCAATGAATGGTTCCATTGTTTTCATGATTGTTGACACTTGCCAGAATCAGCATTGGCAGGCTTGTTGGGCGTTCATTGTTTTGGGTTGAACAAGTCGAGAGCCGGGGCATGTGCTGTTGCGCTGTGCTCAGGAAACTGGCGCGTTGTTCTTTCAGTGTCTCGGCAGAAGGGATGCTTGTTGCTCGCATCCTGAAAGCACTTGGCCCAGTTTGGCCCTTGGCAGCTGGACGTTTGCAACGAGCAGACACACACCTGGAGGCGTGGAGGCGTGGAGGTTGTCCTGGAACAGCGAGAGCCCGTGAAGTGAACGCATGCCAAGCTCGAAGAGGGTGAACAATTTTCATGGCCGCCTTGAGGTCGAGCTTCTGGAAGCGAGGGCTTCGTGCTTCATGCGTGGAAGGTCATGCAGCGGCCGTTGGAATTATGTGGGCCTGTGACGGTGCTGTCAACTCCGGCGAGCTTCCGCATCTTTGGTACAGTTCGCAGTTTCAAGAAGGCGGCGCGCTTGCAGATGGGACGTGGAAGGCCCTGCTGGAGAATGCAGCGAGTCGAGAAGGGAACGAGGTGCGCCTCATACATCGAGACGTTGAACCTTGCTCTTTGTCCGGACTCGTGCTGGAAGATGCCAGATGAACCGGCGACCTGTGGATGGACGACGACCACCGAAAGGCAGACCTCGTAGCCGAGAGAAGGCGGACAACACATTTTCGTGGAGCTACGCCAAGATCAAGTTCGTGGAGTTCTCATGTGAGGCCTTGGCAGGTTGCTCGGTCGAACCGGGGCCGGATGTCCTCATGAGGTAGAAGGCTGCTTTTAAATTTTTATCATGGAAAGTATGGAAAGATGCGCAAGTGTTCTCCTTCCTCCAGAGGATGTCCAGCCGCAGAGCTACACTAACCTGGCTCGCTTTGGAATGACTCGTCGATGCCTGCCTTCCCTTGGCGAGGCATTCGAGCTACCGGAAACATAAGAACTACCGTGAGAATTTCATGTCGACGATGCAGTGGATCCACCAAGCAGAAGCTTTGCAAAGCCTTGCTCTATGAGCTGGAGCAGAGGGGGGCCCCGAGTACGAACCCTCAGAAGCTGCCGACCAAGGCACACGGCACCGCCGTCGCACCCCGTGGTTTTCTCCTCGCCCGGAACTCTTCTCCTCGCTCATCCCTGGAGTGCCCAACCCCAAAGTCCCTGGAGTGCCCAACCGCAGAGTGTTCCTGGAGTGCCCAACCCCAGAATTTCCCTGGAGTGCCCGACCCAAAGTCTCCTGGAGTGCCCGACCCCGGAGTGCCCAGCCCAGAGTCTCCTGGAGTGCCCAACCCCAGAGTGTCCCCGGAGTGCCCAGCCCCAGAAGCTCCCTGAAGTGCCCAAGTGCCCCAAAGTGGAGTGCCCAGAGTCATCCAGAGTTAGAGCGCCAAATTTCAGAGTGTCCCTGCCCGGAGTGTCCGCGGAGTGCCCAGCCCCAGAGTGTCCCTGGAGTGACCAACCCCAGAGATCCCCAGAGTATCTCTACCAAGAGAGGGTGTGTCACTCTCTTTTTGCTGCGGGTTCGTGCAAATCGTCTGCTACGACTTGATTGCACAGCAGGAAGTCTTTCAGCAATTTGCCCATGGCAAGAAGTACCCTGCGGTTGCTTGCGAGGAGGCCCACGTCTTCAGAACACCATCGTCTCAACCTTCACAGGCGGAGCATCCTCCAGCACAGCGGAGAGCCCTCATTGAGCGTTTGCAGTCGGTCTTCATTGCTCTGCGGACGAGCCCTTGATCCCCCAGCCATGTTGCGCTTGCTTGCGGTGACCCCCTGCCTCGCCATCGCCACGTACGCTGACAAAGACAGGCTCCGGATTCCGCAGCTCGCCGTGGATGGCTGCTGCTGGCCCTCATCTCAAGGGCAGCGGCAGCTGAAGAAGCTGCCCAAGGGAGGAGCAGAGGATGTCGGGGAAGCGGAGGTGTTATCCAGCACTACGCGTTTGCCCGTCTGTCACGACAGTTGTGAAAAGCAACCGTGCTGCCAGCACTTCGCAATCCAGCTTTGTCATAGGGTTTTCGGAATTGTGACATCAATGCAAAGACTGGCAGTCTTATAGTTACATTGTGGAGAGTGCAACCCTTGCTTACACCTCGAGCACTGTACCGCCAACCGTTGGAAGTAGAGCCAGCTCCATACATGATGTAGGTCCTTCAGTGACCAACCCCTGAAATATGGACCTCACAAAGTCATGTGATGTAACCTAATCCGAAACCCTCATTGCCCTAGTCCCTGGACCCTATTGCCTTGGGTCCTTAATCTAGCTGAGGGCTGGCTGCGCAAGGGGTGTAAACAACTGCGCCTTGACGTTGTGGCTGGGCTCATACGCCAGGACCCCCGGTCATAGATTCGGTTCTCATATGAACCATGAAACGGGTTCTCTTGTTACTCCTAGGTTACTTGGAGGAACCTAGTACAAGGAGCGAGGTGTGCGCAGGTAAGGCCGAACAAAGCCCTTCTGACACACTATGTCATGGCGCTGACTGCAGTAGTAGACTAGGTAGGATGCATGGTTTAGTGTTTATAGGTACTGTTCTGGATCATTTCGAAGATCATCCATCGGTTGACAGTGCAACCCTGACTGCAAATATGTCGTAGATGCCTAGTAGAGTATTGGACTCGTCAGCTCGGGCTGCTGCTATGACTGCTATGACCAGATTGCGTCCCATCTTGCGGCACTCCCGGACGAGCTCCTGCGCAGCTCAGCTTCAGTACTTTTAGTCTTTGAGGTTTATTTAGGGTTTGTTTGGTTGGGCAGATTTTGCAGCACTTGCCTTCGCAATGGCTGTTGCTTCGTGTGTTGCTTGGTGGGCTGTGCCGAGCGCAG